ATAGTTTACAGGAAAAAAACCAATGATTAAACTTGAAAATGCATCCATCAGCAAGCAAAGGGAATGAGAGGAGCACCTGGGAAAGGAAGTTAGCATAAACCTGGGCAATCTGGCAGAGGCACTTTCTGGAAGAAAGGGTGCCTACACTGAGACCTCTGTGGTACAAGCAGAAGTTAGCCAAGGGAGAGACCCTTGACTGGTGGTGGTGGGGGCTCGAGCAGATGCAGTGGACTGAGTAAAGGTCTGGGGGCCACAAGACGGACCAGTCCTGGACTGGGGATTTAGCTTTGGAAGGCACCAGCAGAGGAAATACGATTGGAGTTACGGGTGAGGAAGAAATTGCCTGGGACCGGGTGTAATAGGGGTTGGGGCAAGACACAGCGAAGGGAAGAGTCCCCAGCACACCAGCACTCAAGCAGTAAACAGGCAGAAGAGTCCCGATGAATGTGTGGAGAGATAGTAGTGAAGTGTGAGGGGTCTGTCATCACTGGAAGGTTTCAGTCTCTCCTGGGAGTTCCTACTGGTGCAGGGTGTCAGCGATCAATTTGGCACTCTACTAGTATTGCCTTGCCTTAGATGTCTGTCTACCAAAGAGAATCCTGTTCCTATAATGTAGACATGAGAGTTCTCAGTAGAGAATGGTTATAAATTCTTTCTTGATTCCTCTTCCATACCATGAAAGAACTGTGCTATAATTTCTCAAAGCAGACGGGGGCAAGCCATCCCAGAGACAGAGGCAGGGTTATTGCCAGAAAAAATATTAGGCTATTTTTGTTCTCTACTCAGCTAGGCATTTGTACCTCCAACTGATTAGAATCATACACCCTTGTTTCTACAAGGTTTGATATTAGCTCAGACTTAATATACAGTTGTGAAACATTCTGCCTAAATAGATTGTTTCCACGTCCCCTTGTCCTTTGGTAGAAATCTGCTATTTTGTTTTTAGAAAATATTTATGAATTAAATAAATGTTGTGAATCAGAAATGACTGACACATTCATCATTCTGTCATAAACCACGTCTACTTCTCCAACTCAAATTTCACAAAATGGGAAAACAGGAAAAGAATGCAAACTTGTGTTCTGAGAAAACTTTGAAGGGTCTTGAGGTCTAATAAACTCGAATTTAAACACAGCGCAACAGGTGTGACATTGGATATGTTCCTGACTTAGGGGCTTCGGCCTCCTTATCTTAAAAAGGGGACAATTTGAAAAGTTTGGCCACATTGCTAGATGGAGCTAGGATTTAAACTCACCAGTCCAAAGAATATGCTTTTAACATTATATTGTACTTTCTCTGTAAGTATATAGATTACCTAGCAGTGCCTGACACACAGCGGGTACTGTGTATAACCTGTGATACTGATCAATTTCTTTAAAGTTTCATTTTTTGTGGGGAAAGAAAAGTTCTATGGTTCTCTCTCATAATTCTGTTTGGATCACTATCTAAAAATAGCTCAGCTTAAAAAGTTTCTCTTGCTATGTTAGGCAGGGCCTCATTGGCAGAGGTGGGCGTTTGTTTGTTTGTACTGGGAATCGAACTCAGGACCTTGCACTTGCCAAGCAAGGCACTGTGTCTCTTACTATGTGTAAGAAAACAACAGCTTGGCTTGCAATAATTCTAGCAATGAACAAAAGGAAAAGGAAGCACAACATATAGGTTCCTCTTGGGTCAAAATTTGAGTGATGAACCATTCCACTATTTCAAAAGCACTTCTTTCTATTGTCTGAGGGGAAGCAGCCTAGCAGCTGAAGGAGCACTGTGGACATGGACTGGGTGCATAGGGTGCTGATGCCAATTACAGTAAACAATGTTTCCTCCATAAACCCCGCCATCAAAGGAAACCCAACCGCCCTTATGCTGAGTGAAACTGTTAGTACCCAGCTAGCAGATGTTTGTCCGATAAAGTGGTGCACTGTGTTCACAAGGCACATACTTAGGGAAAGACTTCAAGTGGGTGATGCCTATATGATATTGAACAAAGCCACATCCTTGCAACCTAAAATGACTTTTCCTACCAAGAAATCTATCTAGTCTCTGTGCTACATTCCATCACTTAGCACTTAAAAGACTATGCATTCATGACACCAACACAAAATCTTTAAGGAATGTGGGGTAAATGAAAACAGGTAAACTTGGGATCATGAAAAAAGGAACACAAACCCGGGAATTTTATCCATATCTCCTCTGCAGACCTTAGTTGATAACTAAAGGACAGCAAGGTCCATCCAACAAAGTGTTACATACCTAAGACATGGAGTGTCCAAAAGAAAGTTGATGGGCTCTTGGAAGGCATTAGAGAAAGAGAAACCAAATGTTGTGATATTGCCAATTAGCTTATGTTGGCCTTGGTATCTTCGAAGTTCAAAATCTAAATATGGAGTAATCCTTATGGTTACATAGGTTTATATTTGCAAAGTTACTTTTTTGGAGGAATTTCTCTTTGTCATATGGTTTCTTCCTAGAATTCAGATTGTGCCAAACAGTAAATTGTAACATCTAAAGATAGGGAGTCAGAAAAACTAAGGCAGTCTAGAAGATACACATCTCAACTAATTATATTTCTTTGAATTGATAGCAATTATTAACATCTGACATTATTGGAAATCATTTCTTCCACAGACTCCACTTGCCTAAGAATATAAACAATTTTAGAAGTTAATCTCCCTAAGTCCCTCTGTAAAATGAAGCTATGTACTGTAAAAATAATGCAAGAGTTAAAAGTAATGGTGTAAAAAGTTTTGCACATGGTAGGACTTCGATCTATCCCTGCCTGTGAATCCTTAGAGACTGAACACTTACTGTCTCCACACTTACTGTCTCAGAAGCACAAAACCCTCCTTTGCTAAAGCAAATGGTTGGCCAGTGTAGTACAAATATTCTTCACGATGCTAGACCTTTCTAGAAGCTACTTGATTAGCACAAAGTTTATCACTACTTATACTGTTCCTTAATGTTCACAAATTATTCACCAGTTTGTTGTCAATCTGGGTCCAGTGAGTTGATAATTTATTTACTCTCTTTCTTAAAAAAAGCCTTCCGACCACACGCAGAGCACTTGATAAGGCACTCAGTGTAGGGATAACCCTAGGTGATTCAGAAATGTGAATTTATTTACACTCAACCTGTAGAACTTGCTTGTAACAACAGAAATTTGCCTTCTCAGCAATGTTTCTCTCTCTGCCTAACCTCCTCCCCTTCTTTCCACACAAAACCCATCTGCTCCATCTGGCTTTTCTCTTGTGCCCAGAGACATTTGTGTCGCAAACATAAGAGAAATTAGCACTGCCAGGAATGCACATATGCAAGAAAACATGTAACTCAGTCTGCAAAGATAAAACCTGCAGGTGTCTTTTCTCCACACAAACTCACTTCCTCCCAGGTTAATTTCCAAACTTCTGAGGCCAGCATGTATGTATTTAGAGACAATTTGTAAAGTAGTTGTTCTTTCTATATCTATTGCATAGATCAATTAAAATTAGTCTCCTGAAAGAGTATACAGTTTTCCGGAAGTGTCTGATTGCTTATACTAACCTATGCGGCAGTTTCTCTTCACAAAGACTAAGCAATGGGTATGTTGTACATATCAAAGGGAGGGAAATGCAGTTAAAAAGGCAGGGTCTTCTAAACTCAAGATCCTTAAGCTACCTAGGAGTCAGATAATAAGATACTGTGTTTTATTTAATGTAAGTGGTTTTTTTGGTAAAAATATAACCTACCTGACAGGTAGCAGGCACATATAATTACATTCAACCATTTATAGATGCTGGCTTCTATTAAAGTGTTCTCTGAGTGAGGGCCACTTTCTTCCATAGTCTTGGCCCCCAGACCTGTTTCTCTACATCTTTTTACCATTTGAACCTGCAAAACAGCTCTATTGTGTGACCTGGAACCACAGGAGATCCCCCGTTTAGTGGAATGCGAAGCTGCTGCTTCATCAGTGCTATACTATGTAGCTTGTTTCAGCTCACTTCTGACTTGCAAAGTTTGGTGACCTTATTAGAGCCCTCAGAAATCTAGTTTAACTAAAGGTCAGGAGATAGAACTTACCCAGGCTCATACGCATCCAGTATTAAAACAGTTTGAAAAGTACTTCTTAGGTTTTCTGAGTACAACTTAATGGATTTTTTTTTAAAAAAAGCATCAGAGTGAAGTACTGTCGATGGTGTTGGTGGGTATTGTGCTGTAAGTAGCATACCGGGTAAAAACAGTTCAGATATTAACTATTACAAAAATCCACAGCCACAGTCTTAAAAGTCAAGTGCTCTGGACATGTGTATTTTCAGGGAGTAAAAAACTTTATTCATTATCTTATTCTGTTCACTTCTCTTTTGGCAAAAATTTACATGACGATCCCCAATCTAAGCAATTCCATGAAATTTAAAATGAAAGGAACATGTATTCGTGTATAACATGATATGTATAATGAGCAGTGTACAAATTTTCTATCTCTGCCATAACAAATGATCAAAAGTTTAGTTGATTAAGGCAATAAAAATTATCCTGCAGTTCTGTAGATTAGTTCTGTAGGTCAGAAGTAACTCAGATCACTAGGCTATAATTAAGATGTCAGGAAAGCCACACAGGAGAATATTTCCTTGCATTTTTTTTCTAGGATCCACCTCGGTCTTTCTATGGCTGATGGTCCCTTTCTATCTTCAACACCAGTGACATGGAATCAGACCTTTTTTCCACTTCACATCTCTCTCTCTGAAAGGTTCTCTACTATCAAGGACTCATTTTATTAAAATGGTTCCACTTGGATAACCCAGGATGTTTAACCCATCTCAGGTTATACACATTCAGTGCCATCTGCCAAGTCTCTTTCGTCCCGTCTTCACAAACTCAAGGGACGACGACATGAATATACTTAGGGGCCAGTATTCTGCCGACCACTGGCTGAAAGAGTAAGATAAGAAAACTTTCATTACCGACCTTGTCTTCAGAAGAGTTCATATTCTTAGGTTTTTGTAATAAACAGGGAGAGACGCGGCGAAGAATGAAGGCCACATTAACGGTTTTACTAATGCAAATTCAGTAAAGATCATGACATACAAATCATCCCACAGTCCTGTGATGCTATATGGAACCCAACCTTTGCTTCTGTGGATATTGCAATTTTAATTATCCCTCTTCTGCAACCATTTCCCTTCATTAAAACCAATAGGTATTTTCAGTTCTAAGGTTAAAATTATTAAGGAAAAATATTTCAAATTATCTTGTTATTTGTTAAAGAGAAAAATTTTCCAACTTAAAAATACTTTGAAGTCTAAAGATAGCTTCACGTTTCTAGAAAACTCAGCTACACACCATTAGTGATCTTGAGGTAAGACAGATATTATTTTCTAAAGCAAAAATGGGGCGCATACTCTAAACTTTTTCTGACGTATCTGTGCGGAGCCAGACTGCTTTAAAGCCCGGGACATCTGAGGACGCATAAGGACACAACCCTGCAGTCTAGCGCAGGAGCACAATGGGTTACACGTACATGAGCATGGCCGAGCACAGACAACTACGCATGCGCTACACGGTTATGTTAGCGCACGAGAACGTAATGTCTGATAACAGCCAATACAAGGGCCAAACAAAAAAACAATAAAGCGCTTGCTTGCTGTTGCTGATGTCGGCATGCTTTCTTTTTCCTGTGGACCTCACCCACGAAAATACCCCTTCAGCCCTCGACTCCAACATTATTTCAACTATACAAAAATATGTGCAAGTATGAGGAAAAGTTGTACTGTATATGATACACAAATGCATCCTTTAAAAGTACATAAAGAAAAGCAGAGGGAAAAAAAACTCTCTGGCAAATTGAGGACCCATTTATACACTGCAGCTGAGTTCTACACCTTACACGGAACACGGCAGGAAAGCTGAGCAGCCTTCTGTCCACCAGCAACTCAGGTGGGAGAATGCAGGACTGGCAGAAAGACAAGGGTCAGCTTTATCAAAACAAAATTTCCACATTTTTTTAATGTGCAAAAACTAAAACAGATCTGCAAACCACACTGTTTTGGGGGGAACACAAGACACTGTACTTTGATGTTTTAAAGTTTAGAATTAGGAAATTATGCCTCATACTGACACTACGAAGAAAACAAGACTTTTTTAATTTCAGAAAGTTCAAGAATTTTCATCACAATGAATGAAGTGCATGATTGATTAAATATTGTCAGCACTGCTTTCCACAAAGTTTCCATTACAGTTTTTAATTGCAGCCACACACCTGAGTGTTGTGAATTACAGAAATATATCCACCGGCAGGCAACGACTCACATTAACAGTATGCTTCTTGAGATCATTTGTACTTCGTGATGAGTTGGTGTGTGCAGCTTCAGGATTCACAGGAGAAAGTAAATCTTTGACTTTATTTTTTAACCAATGAAAATTGCTTTAACGTATTATTCAGAAAGTGGCTATAAAGGCATTACTGTAAGGCATTACCAAAACATGATACCCTATTATGCACCATGCAGGACACAAAAAATAATGGCTTAGAAATAACTCTAGAGCAACGAAGAGAGTCGTGGTTTTCTTTTCATTATGGACTTCCAAATCGAAGATGTTTTTCAGGTTAAAATCTGATTAAGAGTCAATGGAAAATTGGGTCCCTAATTTAAGAACTTCAACTTCCTTAGATTAAAAAAAGAATAAGTATGAATGATTATAATTTTAAAATATGTTGCTTTGGGGAAAAGTCTTGATTCGCTGCTTCATTCTTTTAACTATTTCTTTGCTTCTCTATTATAAGATCATCCACCGTTATTGCAAGGACAATTTCTGATTCAATTCCAGCGCTCTTGCGTCTCCGTGAGTTTCAGCATTTTTTACCAGTACCTACAGGAAATCACATAGGAAGGTTAGCATTTGTGTGTATTAACAAGATCCATGTGTACTTAGATTCCAAAGGGCAGCGGTCTTAAAAAGGCAACATTAAACTACATAAGAAAGAGTGAAAGCATGCAATCTTTGTCACTTTGGCTGAAATAAAATTTCCAGCCAAAGCTAACAGGAGAACAGCACAATTTACCAGCATAATGGTAACATTCTGACTATTACTATTGGCAGCTCTATAAAATTAAAGGTTTTGCCAGGTGTGGTGGTGCCTAGCAGGCTGAGGCAGGAGAGTTGCCAGGAGTTCACGGCCAGCCTGAGCTACATAGTGAGCTCAAGGCCAGCCTGAGACTCTGTCTCCACCTAAAATAAAATAAAATAAAATTTCAGGTTTTGTCCAGTGGCCTTACCAAAACACTCACACAAGACACTTCGTTTAGTGTCATGTCTGAACCCTTACCAAAATGACTTTGGGTAGAACTGCCCAAATGACACTCCTCTCCTTTCAAGTCAGTTTAGGATCTAGGCTCTAGGTTTTAGGCTTTCTCAAGAATCTTTCCATGGTTACACAAATTCCACAAACTAGAAGGTTTTATTCCACATGATCATTCAATTATTGAAATGTCCTTTGGTCGTTCATTGTCAAACCCTGTGAAGTGTTTGAGATTTTGCTCTACTTGTAAGCTAACAAGATAGCCTATTATAGTTTCACAATGCTGCCAGAAAACAGGACTCCTGCATCACAGAAAAACTTCTTCATTACACAAGGTATAGCAAGTAGAAAGAGTATCAATATATTGGTACCCATCCCATTGCTCTGTAAGCCTGGCAGGGGTGATGTGGATGATACATAGTGTCTGTCCTACATAAAATTGCATTAGAAGAAGGGAACCCTGAGCCAGAGACTCAAATCTTTTAGAATGGGTGGCTGAATATAGTAAAGTAATGCCCATGCTGTGCTGTTCAGGGAGACCTTATCTCTGTCTCCACGGCTGCTCACTATACGTTTTTGAAAGGATAATCTAGAGCACAGAATAACCAGGACCCCTGCTCACAGGACATTTAGAAACACAACTGACTCATAGCAAACTATTTCTCAACAGGCACACGTTCTACCTTTCAATATGTTGATTAGAATGCCTTTCTACAAGCATTGTTTCCTTTACTATTTCTTTAATATGATCATTTTTATCAAAAGGAAAATAGCGTTTCAAGTGCAATTGGAAGTGAAAAAGCTTTTCATTAGTTTTCACTGTGTTTCTGATATTGTTGGCTAAAGTTAAGGAATCTGAACTTTGTACACTGTTATATACTCCACCTTTTCCAAAAGAATTTCAGATACAAAAGTTTATATATTTAGATACTGCCATCCCATAAAGAGAAGACACTGTCACAAGTGTTTTATAGAAAAAACAAGCAAGGGGCTGGGGATTTAGCTCAGTGGCAAAAGCACCTGCCTGGCAAGCGCAAGGTCGTGAGTTCGGTTCCCAGTACCGGAGAAAAAAACCAAAAAAAAAAAAAAAGAGAGAAAAAACAAGCAAAAGCAAAATAATGCTTTCAAAGGCAACATGAACATCTTATCAGAGTCTAGTACCTGTACCCCAATGATGGTGAACCTTTGAGAGATGAATTCCCAAAGTGTAACCCAAAACCAAGTGCCAACACTGCAATTAAACATGGACACTGAGCTTTTACTTTAGAAAAAAACAACTCACACAGGAACACCTTTTGTGTTGAAAGAAAAACCATACACATAGCATAGGTTCGCCCCCACCGCTCCCCGCTTGTCCTATCTGTTTCTGCGTCAATGGCCATAAAAAAAAAACAAGTAGTACTTGTTACTTTTGTCTTTTTAAAAAAATTCTGTAGAGCACATTAGAAAACTGTATTATCTACAGTTTAAATCATTAATTCTCAACATTAGAACTAAGGGATCATTTGACAATGTGTAGAAGACATTCCCAGCCAGCAAAGTAGGCATACAGTGGGGTAGAGGACAGTGTTACTGGCATCCAGTGTCTGGACACCAGGAGCGCTGTTCAGCACGCAACACTGCACAGGACGGCACCTACTACCGACAAAAGACTGTCCAGTCCAAGCTTTCAATAGTGCCGAGGCTGAGAAACCTTGGCTTAAACAAACTGCAAAGAGTGTGTCATAAATTGCAAATGGTGTCACACTCCTCAACAGGAAAAGAGAAATATGAGCAGACAAAACAGTGCTACTGTTAGATGTTAATACAAAACCAGTGCCAACTCATTCATCTTCTCTCCTTTGGCTTTTTTATTTTGACCTGCCTTTTGCTAAAATATTTTATCTACCCACTTCTAAAGATAACAAAGATAAATAAAGACAGTATAGTTAAGTCATGCCTTTCTGCTTTAAAAAAAAGAAAAAATGATTACTGGTACTGCCTCAGGTTGAGTTTAGATGGGCATATATCTGGACTGCTACAAATTTCATGACACAAGAGTTTTAGATCAACATCACTTGACTTTTCAAGTCATATGCACACTTACTTTTCTATTTTCAACAGATATAACTAGACATTGTAGCATCTGTTGATCAAAGAATTACATGGCTCACTTTTTTAAAGCTTCAATCACAAAATGGAATAATTTTGAAAAATAACACTACATCTTTAGGTCCAAGATCAGATATTTTAAATAAAAATCAATGCCTTACATCAATAAGCTCATAGTCATTTTTGGCGTAGAGATGTCTCAGCAGGTACCAACGTGCAGTTGATACAATAGATTTGGGATACCCAGGCTGATACACGACTCTCTCCAAAAGTCGCCGTGTCTCTCTGGAAAAAAAAAGATACACTTTTAGTCAAAGAACGTAAACTAACATGAGGTACTTCATATATAATGCTAGCCTTACATACCCTATTTTCTTTCTCATTCATTTGCAGATGTGGTATCTGATTACTTTGTGACTTCTTATTCACGTAATAATAATGGTTAACATTTATTAAATGTTCACAATGCACTGGCTTCTATGCTGTGTTTTAAACACATGATTATACTCAGCATTTACAACCTTACGACATAGGTTGCTATTGCTATTCCCACGGTGGATAAGGAAATCAAGGCTCATTCCAAAAAGAGTATGGAGAAGATAGTGTTCTACTGCTATTCCGTTGAAAGCAAGCATAAATTCAGTCACTTGATAATACAATGGGAATGTACAGTGGGACAAGAAATATTTAACATCCACCCTAGAGCTTACAGCACATGCTTTCAAGGATAGGCACACTATATGAATGCATGCAGCACACTGATTAGTAGCTATGTTCTAATTTTTCTTTCCTAATTTACTAACATTTATGACTGACAACTTTTGTAGCGGCAGAAGCAACATAAACAGTAGTAACTTTAGAGCTCCTAAGTTGAATCTTCTAAGTAGGAGCTAAAGAACTTGTCTTAAAGAAATTTTTTCACAGGGATCGCATAGTCAACAGTGTTTTTCTCCTAGAATGTGTTTTTTGGACAGGATAAAACGTATGGGAGGTGTTAACAAGATTATAGGGGAAAAGGAATATGTGCTAAGTCACCCACAACATCCACCAACAGAATGAGTTCACTAGAAAGTTTATAAACCAAAATGTAGGCTGGGCGTGGTGGTGCACGTCTGTAATTCCAGCACTTGGGAGGCTGAAGCAGGAGGATTGCTGCAAGTTCAAAACCAGCCTGGGCTACAAGGTGAGCTCAAGGCCACCCTGAACTGCCTAACAAGACCTTGTCTCAAAAAGACAAAAAAAAATAATAATAACAATAATAAAAATAAATAAACTAAAATGTTTCTTGGTGAAATCAACCAAACACACACACACACACACACACACAAATGGCCAAAAAAATTAAATAAATATTAATAAAAATGCTGGAATTGCTGATTAGTTATATGGGTCTTAATTCTTCATCCCTACTTTGTGACATGTTTTTCACACACATCTTTATATATTAAGCCCTATTTCTATGATATCTATTATGGCCCAGTAATATTTGTTCCTAAATCACTCTTTTACTTATCACTGCTTTGTACTGTGTTGTGTCTATTAGCATTAAAAATTGTTTTAAGAATTTTAAAATATTCTTGCCTATTTATTCATCCATATGACCTCTAAGGAATTTTCTTCACATTAGTTTGGAAAATATCCCCAACATCTAATAAAAATATTGCTAGGCTTTTTATATTTTAATTTGAGCAGGTTTTGGATTTTCTAGATATGAAATCCCATTACCTACAGACAATATGTCTGTTTTTCATTATCTTACTTTTTCCATAGTCTACTGCATTAGTGAGAATTTCTGTCAATATGATCTCAAAGGTGGGCACTCCTGACTGTTTCTGGAATACACATTATACTTGGCGCATCCTAAAATAGTAGGGAACAAGGACATTTTCACTTGAGACACTGTGAGGTCAGACCTCTAATATCTGCATCAATGCATCAAACTATTTCTTCAACAAATAAATTTTAATTTTTCCCTTACTACAGTACTCTAATCAACCATTCTAGAGTAGATAGTGATAGAAGAATGACTTTTAATGTTTGTTAGTTGGTTAAGCTAATTATAAGCCTTTCCTTGATTCTTTCTTAAAAAGCTAATGTGAAGCAAAATTCATGTACAAGAAACAAAAATGAACAAAGATTTTTCATACCTTGCCCCCATTTTGCGGTTGAATTGTAATAAAGCTTGCAAAAGAACAGCCAGCGGACAAAAGCAAAGTTTCATTGCTTCGGCTGTCGCCTCTTGAACCAAGGATGGCCAGTGATCACTGGAAATATTAGCCTTTACAAACATAAGATAAAGATTAGCTCAAAGTGTTTGACACATTTTACTTCAAAAGTATGCAGCTCAGTTCTTATTTATTGAGACTCTAATTGTCCAAGTTACCATAAAAATGCACAAGGAAGAGAATTACTAAAAATGATTTAAGATATGATCCTGGTCCTTAAGGAGCTACAAAACAGGATAGACTGAGAGAAAAGAAGGTCTCATAAAGGAAGTATCATTCTAAAAATATTGAAATAGTTGTTAAAAGAAAATGCATTATTATACCATATAGATGAATAAAATCAGTAATCTTTTGGTCTACCAAATATAGAAAACTTAATTTACGTTGATAACTCTTTAGTACTATAGACCAAAATATAAAGCTCCATAATTCAAGAAGTATCTAAAGAAAGGAAAATGTGAAATGAAATATTTCAATAAAATCACAATAGAAAGTACATGACAGATCAGAAATATTAGAGTTATCAACATTGAAAATTTTTAAAAATCACCTTATGGGGGAAATGCTTACAACATTACTGACATTACAAATTAATTTTATAATATATATTGACTCAAAAATAACATTGCTGGGGATGTAGCTCAGTGGTATAGTACTTGCCTGGCATTTGCAAGGCCCTGGGTTCAAACCCCAGCACCACAAAAAAAAAAAAACCTATCTAAGTATTTCCTAAACAACTGTAACTGAAACTAAGTTCCATCTGAATTAAGAAGAAAAAAATGCAGCAAAATTTTTTCATTAAAAGCCTTAAAATGTAACCAAGATTTCTTAACTACAAGTATCCACTGTACACATCTGAATAAAGTCAGTGTAATGACATACAGTCCATTTCATGTTTTAATGAAGTCAGTATAACGAGTCAATACGTAGTCCATTTCAAACACAACGTTTTAAGAAAAAAATGTGAGAGCAACATTCTCTGAGAGCCGCGTAGGCAGCTGTAATGCGTGTGATCAAACAGGAGGACGCATGCTGAGTCTGAAGAGAATGGAGGCTGTGAGGCACCTTCTATAAATACAGGAGCAGTGGGACTCAGTACATACAATAAAGGTACAAAGCAAGGCACTGACTAATAAACCTGTTCCTAACAACTTTTCCAAACCTACAATACAATACCGTCATTGCTGCTTTTAATAACGCCCTCCCTAAACTCCAAGAACTATGAAAGTATTCTGTAACCTTAGCCCAAAGATAAGTATATAAGGCAAAAGTTACTGTTTGTAACAAGCGTACTGAACAACGCTCTCAGAACGGACTGCTATTTTTGCCCACTCCTATCACTTTAAAATTTATATCTGTCCCTGGATATAAATTATAGTAGGCCCCACGCCTCTTCTATGATCACTTTTCTTAGATTCATTTATAAACACAGCCTCAATTAAAACGCCCTCTACATTTCACTATTTCTATCTTCATGCAAAGAGAGTATGTGCAGCCTTCTCCCCAGTTCCCTCCGCTCCCAAGCCGAGGTGTATTTACTGGCAGCACTGGATGGCACATTTATCCTGTCCAACACTCCCATCTCCTTCCCTAATCAAAGTCTCAGACCCTCTTCACTAATACCATAGTAAGACGGTGTCAGGTTCTCTAGGTCTGGCAGCTACTTGAAGCTTTTTCCTCACGCTGGCTTTATTAGAGACTTCCACCCTCCCGGTAGTTGCTCATCTGCAGGCCCATTAGGGCCTATGGGGCACAGTGCAAAACAAAAGTGTAGACAGAGCATTTTGCTCAAAACTTAATTATTTCAGAATGGCGACCACATCACATTGAACCAAGTGTAGAGCCCAGTGTAACCATAGAGGATGCAGATTCATGAAGCCAGGTGTGTTCTGTAGGTCCACTAACCTAGACAAACGTATAGATGGTGCCTCAACTTCTGATGGGCTATGCCCCAATGTGATGTACAGTACATTAATCTGAAGGCCTCATTGCTGACAGTTACTAGAAATCTCTCTTAAAGAGTATCACATTGAGGGGCTGGGGATTTAGCTCAGCGGCAAAGCGCCTGCCTGGCAAGCGCAAGGTCGTAAGTTCGGTTCCCAGTACC